CAAAAAGATGAATTAAGTTATAAACTAAGGAAAAAATTTAAGTTAAAAGCTGAGGGATAAGCTGAATTACAAACTGAGTAATGAGTTACATTATAATAAAAGGAATCAGTTAAGTTATAAGCCAAGAGATTTTATTCGGAAATAATGTAAATTATAAATTGAGGGTTTGAGTTAAATCATAAACTGAAGAATGACTGTAGATGAAACTTACAACAAACGCCGGAGCGCAGATCTCGCGAGAAGCTTTTCGGGCATACGCAAAGATGATTTGAGAATGGGGTCACCATACATACTTCCGGATGAGGACATGAGGTTGGTAATTCCGGATTGCATTGATTGCCACCGCAACGCCGAGTGCTTGGATGTCGTTGAAAGTTTTCCGGACAGAGGCAGCGTGTCGTGCCACCAGTCTAAAATACTCCAATGACTCATGTGCTTTTGAAATTCACGGGGAATTGCAATCAGAGGAAGACTCGCGGCAGTCGACTCTGAACGATAATCAGTGAGGCCGGGGAGGATTGGAGGAGGGGTTAGGCAAAGAAAAGGGTGATGATCCTGCATGTTTTCGACCAGCAATTTAAGCGGAACTTCACTTGCTCTCAAGATACGATCAAAATTTGAGTGTGAGCGAAGAATGTCCGGGAAAGTGAAAAGGGATCAGCAACTGTTCGAAACAGTCCGAAAAAATATACGAATTTGAAATTTTAGAACAAACTTTTTTTTAAGAAGATTAGATGTATCTGACCCAAAATTTTTACTGTATTCCGATTCCCAATTTTACAGCCAGATTTTGGTTAAAAATCGCAAAAAAATCGCGACACACAAATTCGAAAATCTGGACTTCTCATTTGACTGCTCGAACGGCCCACTTAAAGGCAGCGCCCACACATCGAAAAGGAGGCATTTTATGCTGCTGGAAGTATGCAGCTCAGGATCGAGGGCTTGGTGCAGTGTGCCTGGTATTTGCGAACATCCTAGTAACTAAATTAGGGCTACCACAATGATTGCCCGGGTGGTCTTCGTATTCATGACATTTGACCGCTCAAGGCGAGGAAAACGATACGGAAGCTAGAGATTTCAGTTCACTAATTAGCTAATTACGGATAACACATTTAGTAACTGGATATCCAGAATAGCTTATAGTTACAATATACAACGGAATGGCATTCTCGACCCCCAATGCGCATTAGATTTATTTTCAAGAATCTTGAAATGAACCTGTACGCAGATTTCATTGAGAGCGCGATCGCATCCGGTCTGTGTCGTTGGGTTACAGCCACCTGGTGGTCGCGGTTTTGGTTCCGGCGATGGACATGCGGCTTTCTGAATCAGCGAACGCAGGCGCGTATCCAGATCTTTGAATCGGTCAACGTAGAACCATCGGGATGGTGAGCCGGCAATTGATTCCAGTTCCGATGCTAACACATGATCCGTTACACCAACCGAAAACATGTTAATGTGCAGATCCCGTGCAACCTTTGCCGGCTCCGTGACGTTATCCTGACTGCGACCATCCGTAATTACAATGGCAACACGTGCAACATCGTCTCCTTGTGTGCGAGCACCACGTCGCTCCGAGAAACCTTCCATCACCATATGCTGGATCGCAGC